TCAGCCTCTCTACAATGACTCCACACACAAGCTAAGCTAATGCTGCTAGCCGATCCCTACCAGCGGCTCATCTGCGCATGCGCAGCAGGATCCACTTCGATTTTACTTTGTAAAATGATTTAACTTTGCTGCTTAAACGGAAAACAAGGAGAATATTTCAGATCCTAGTTTGGTTTAGCATTTTATAGAAAATAAACTTTATGGATATGTTTTAGTTTATATGGATGATTCAAAAGATTTAATGACAGGAATGGTGTTTAGTTTATAGTTCCAGAATTAAATGTTAAATCAGGTAAAATAATCAGTGATGGAGTTTTAGTGCACAGAGGAGAAATATTTGTCGTCATATTAGAGTTAAAATGAATGGAAGAAATCCATCCACTCAGAAGTTTAATTATCCCTGATTCTAGTTCATCGTTATATTAATTCAGATACAATCATTCAGACAGCAGACCTGATATCTAATTAAAAAATTCAGCAATTATTATTTAGAATTCAAGCAATGGGATAAATTGTTTCTTTTATATGGATTCTTTCTCATTTAGGAATAAAAGGGAATTAGACGGCTGATAAATATGCAAAACAAGCAACTAAAAGCAGTCAGGTTTTTACCTCCAGTGCTTTTAAAATATTGCCTTCCACCCTGCCGTCATTATCCCTAATAAGCTTTCTATGACAGCCAGAATGATGGCAGATAAATCCAGCTTTAACTGGATTCCTATAAGGTTCTTCTTACGTAGCTTGATTGGCTGTGCCAGGCATGGATAACCACCATCGCCAAGGTTTACAAAGTGGTTTGGTGGGTAGAGGGAGTGGGTGTAAACAAGACTATTTTTTAGAACTCCAGATTCATGAACTCAACCTGGATACCCAAAAAAATATCAAGAAATTGAATTGAATGGAATAATTTGCGGTTAAAATAACATTCTGCATTTTCTTTAGGCGGTTTGATCCAGATGCAGAAAGTTGCTGGAAGCCAGCTGCTAAATCAGCCAGCTAGTTTCCATGTGAGAAGCGAATCGCACTGTTTTTCAGGCCTAGAATATCCTCTGCCACCCTGGGGATGATGTCACAGATGGTTGAATATCAAAGGCTCTGGCAACAACATGATAGGACGCACAACTTGCCAGCCAAAACAAGAAGGCTAGAACTTCTAGGTGTTGCCTCCATCCGTGGTGATGGGGCGACCGGAGCTGTTAGTCTCTCCAGGGTCAGGAGGAAATCAGGGCGAAGGTTTGAGCGGCCATCAAAGTACAGCTCACTGGAAAAAAAATCTAAATCTAGATGAGTCATTTTTTCTTAAAATAAGTGCATTTGTTGTTGGATTAAGGAGGGAAAAGAGACATTTTGCAAACGGAACAAGACAATTTCCACTTAAAATAAGGCAAGACAATTGCATTGTCTTATTTTAAGTGCAATTTATCTAATTATCTGATTCTAAGGGTGAAAATTCTCATTCCATTTGCAAGCTATCTCAATTACATACTCAAATTAAAGGTAAATACACTTAATTTAAGACATTTTTACTTTTTTCTAGATTGTTTTTCCAGTGCTTCAGGAGGGGGACGTCTGTATTAAGGAGGAAATAAAGATATGGTTCACCCTAAAAAAGGGTTTTAAGCCTGTTAATAAACACATATTGTGTTTATATTTATTGTTTATTATATGTTCAATACATTTTTTAACACATTTTTGTTAAATTGTGTTATTGTATTAATTTAGCGTTTAAGCCGATGATTCAAAAAGGTTTACTGAAAAGATTCTTTAAAGCTTTACCAACGTGAAATATAAGAGATAATAAATGATTGGTGAAGAAAGCTAGCAAAATATTGGATGTAGTTGTGTGATATCTTTGATTTAGGTCAAATAAATAATTTAGGTAATATAAAATTAGCCTAAAAAGGTTTTTAACTTTGCGCAGCAGATGGCGTAATCTTACACATAATGTAAATTATTGTAAAGCACTTTGCTTTCAATGAGTTAACACTCTTACAGCTGCTGAATGTCTGGCCAAGAGGTCAAGAACAAATCTAAAACGTTTCCTCCTCCTCAGTTCTTCTTCTTACTTCAAGACGTCTTTAAATTCTAAGCAAGAGAATTTCATAAAAACATAAAGACCGATTAGTGGTGCCATTTTGCCTTATGTGGATAAAGCTGGACGTAGCTTTGATGGCGTGAGCTGAAATAGCTTAGCGGTGTGAAAATGAGTAATTCAGCACAATTACAATTAAGTGGTTTTATTAGATTTAACATAAAAAAATCATGAAAAAAATAAAGAAGAAAATATTGTTTGTATTTAAAAAACATAATTCCTTTTTTTTCTTCACGGTTGAATAATACAAGGAAAATATATTATATAATTTAAGGGGGATTTTTTTAATTAATACTTTACTTCTATATTTATTTTACTTTCATAAATATTTGGTAAAATTATATTAAAAATAAAATAGCTGTAGGAATTTGGACTTGATTTCCTATTTTACAATCACGTGACCAACGTGGAGTGAAAAATAGTGATCATCTGTCAGTTAAATGAGTTCACTATAAAGTCGCCGTTCCATATAGTGATCGAGGGATTAGGGCAAACATTCGGACGCAGCAAAAGTGTCAACAAAACCCCACTGGGACTGCTG